ACTCACGCGGGCCTGGGAGGGCGGGTCCGGGCGGGACGGCGGGGCGGAGCCGGAGCGGGACTGCCCGGCGGCGAAGGTGGGGCGTCCGGCCGGGCCCGCTGGCTGGGTCGGGAAGACAAGTTCTTCCTCTTTTCCCTCCAGTCCCTACCAGGCAGGCGCTGAGATTCCGTGGGGTGTCGCCATCCGCTTAAGGCTGAGGCAGGCACGGTGACAAGCTGGTCTGCTCAGGTATGGGGGCCCTCGTGGCAGAGGGAAGGAGGGAGGAAGTTGCCCCCTGCCTGGGGAGGGGATTGACAAGGGAAGGGAACCCCCGGGTAGGGCACTAGGCTGGAGCTGTGAGCCACGGCTGGGCTCCGGGCTGAGGCCAGGCTGGTTCTCTGGTTCTTCTTCTTCTTCTTTTTTTTTTTTTTTTTGGCGACTGGCCGGTAGGGGGATCCGAACCCGTGACTTTGGTGTTATAAGGCAGTCCGGTACTTCTTGCCTGTAGCCCCCATGAGGGTCCCTAGCCTCAGAGTCTCCAAGCCTGTCCGTGCCAGCCCCGGGCTGCCCAAATGCTCACATATATCCCAGAATAGTCACCAAGGCAGGGGACCCAAACTAGCATGAGTGACAGAGCACAGGTGGTCAGGGAGAAACAGGCACCAAGCCCAGTCAGGAGGGAGACACTGTGAAGAGAGACGGAGAGGCAGAGAGCACAGAACAGAGGGCAACCAAGACAGAGGCAGGTAGAGCTTGAGAGGCACAAAGTGAATCCGAGGGGAAGGTGACAGGGTGGTGCAGGAAAGCAGGTAGACACAAGCAGAGGGTGCTACGCCTCGGACTCGAGCAACATGGACGGTGAGCGGAGCCAGGGCCTGAGCCAGAAGGGACAGGGCAAGGTCAGGGTGAGCCTGAGCTAAAGATAAACTGAGGGAGATGCTGAGAAAGAAGGGGGCTCCAGCTGGTAAGATGACCTAGAAGGGCTCTCCAGCGGTGCCGGGGACTGGGAAAGAGGCTCCATCACACGTTGCGGACGGGGGATTTGGCCAGATCTGAGATTTTTTTTTTTTTTTCCTTTTTGTCTTTTTTCGTGTCCGGCAATGGATCGCAACCCTCAGTGTCGCGCCCGTACCGGACCAGGACCGACAACGGGATCGCAACCCTCGGTGTTGCGCCCGCACCTCGCTCAGCCAGTGAGCGGGAACCGGTCTGTATGTGGGATCCGAACCCTCGGCGGGAGGCCGGCCCCAGATCTGAGATTATTTTAAATGCATATGCCTTTGAACTCAGCAATGCCACTGCTAGGACTTTATCTTAAAGGTAACATCTTCAGCTGGCCAGTTAGCTCTGTTGGTTAGAGCACCGCCTTGTAACACCAAGGTCAAGGGTTGGGATCCCCATACCAGCCAGCCACTCCCCGCCCCCCAGAAAATAAAGAAAAAGGTAACGTCTCACAAAGTGGTGAGAGGTATGCATGAAGATGTTCCTCTAGTTGCTAATGACGGTGAAAAGTTGGAAGCCTTCCCGGGTCAGGGACTGGCTGTATCTCCCATAGTCAGTGTATCTGGAGGGGGAATACACTGCTGCAGCTCAAAAGAATGAGGTCAGTCAAGGGCTTGGATCCCTGTACCAGCCAGCTGCCAGTAATAATAGTAATAGTAATAATAAATAAAAAAATTAAAGAATGAGGTTGAGCCCTTGTGCACTCTCGATGTGAGTGTACAATGGTGCAGCCACTGTGAAAAACAGTATGGCGGTTCCTCAAACAATTCAAACTAGAACTAACATAGGATCCAGCAATTCCACTTCTGGGTACACACCCAAAAGAATTGAAAGCAGAACTGGAGATATATGTGCACCCATGTTCATAGCACTACTATCCATAACAGCCCAAAGATGGAAGCGGCCCAGTGTGCGTTGACAGGCGAATGGATACGCCAGATGTGCTCTAGTCATACAATGGAATATTATTCAGCTGTAAGAAGGAAGGAAATCCTGACACATGGTACGACATAGATGACCCTTGAGGTCATTGTGCTCCGTGAAAGAAGCCAGTCACGAAAGGGCAAATCCTGTATGGTTCCACTTCTATGATGTACCTGTATTAGTCCATTTTGTGTTGCTATAACAGAATACCTGCAACTGGGTGATTTATAAAGGAAACAAAATTTATTGCTTACACTTTCTGAGGCTGGGAAGTCTAAAGTCCATCTGGTGGTGGTGACAGTGACCCAGGGGTCTCACATTGCAAGATAGTGGAAGCAGAGAGAGAGCAAGAGAGACTCTCCTTTTAAAGCCCTCGGAACCACACCCCTTACCACTATTTTTAATCCATTCACTACTGCACGGTCCTACAATCTAGTCACCTCTTCAAGACCCCAGCTTACAATTACTGTAATAGGATTTCCCATCCTCTTTACACTGTCACGGTGGGGGCCAAATTTCTTTCTTTTTTTTTTTTTGAAGATGACCACCGGTAAGAGGATCTTAACCCTTGACTTGGTGTTGTCAGCACCACGCTCTCCCAAGTGAGCCACGGGCCAGCCCTGGGGCTAAGTTTCTAATACATAAAACTTGGGGAATACAATTCAAGCTTCAGGGAGTTTTGGGGGGACATAATTCAATCCACTACAGTGCCTAAAGTCCAATTCATAGACACACATGCAGTAGAATGGTGGTGCCAGGGGCTGGGAGAGGGGGTGGGGAGTTAGTGTTTAATAGGAACAGAGTTTCATTTCGGGAAGATGAACAGGTTCTGGAGGTGGATGGTGGTGATGGCTGCACAACACTGACCATGCTTAATGCCACCGAGCTGTGCACTTAAACATAGTTAACATGGTACATTTTTTTTTTTTTTTTTAAAAAAGATGACCGGTAAGGGGATCTCAACCCTTGACTTGGTGTTGTCAGCACCACACTCAGCCAGTGAGCAAACCGGCCATCCCTATATGGGATCCGAACCCGGGGCCTTGGTGTTATCAGCACCACACTCTCCCGAGTGAGCCACGGGCCGGCCCAATCCTGGTCTTTTTAAAACTGATTTTTACACTGCCCTTGAACAATTGGAGTCTTTACAGATAACTATGGCTGATTTTGTTGGTAAGATACAATTCTCATTACCCCATGATAAAGTTTTACAAGGACTCCAAATACTGCCCATAAAATTAAAATCCTGTTTTTAAAAGATGACCGGTAAGGGGATCTCAACCCTTGACTTGGTGTTGTCAGCACCACACTCAGCCAGTGAGCAAACCGGCCATCCCTATATGGGATCCGAACCCGGGGCCTTGGTGTTATCAGCACCACACTCTCCCGAGTGAGCCACGGGCCGGCCCTAACATGGTACATTTTATGTGATGTGTATTTTATCATGATTTTAAAAAAAGAGTGGGGATCGAGCCATAGGTGCAGACCCCAGCAGGTGCCCCCAGGCAGAGAAGCAGGAAACCTGTGAGGCCAGCAGCAGGGTGAGTGCCGCTTTCTCTGTCCCATGTCCTTCCAGATGCAGAACTGAGCCCTGCTGGGAGCATACCCTGGAGCACCCTGGATTGCTCCTAGGGCCCAGCAGCCACACATAAGCCATGCACTGCTCAGCTGTACTCCTGCTGGTCCTCCTGGCTGGCGGGATGGAGGCCTTTCGCATTTGCGCCTTTAATGCCCAGCGGTTGACACTGGCCAAGGTGGCCAGGGAGCTTGTGATGACCACCTTAGTTCGGGTAGGTTCATTGCTGTAGGAAAGCTGTGCCCTTAAGGACCACGATCCAAAGCCCCCGGCCCTGCCTGACCAGAACAAGTCCCAGAGAAAAGGGGACATCAAAAGGCATGGGTGCAGAGATGCAGAGCATCTATTGTTGTCCTGGGTCTCCCCTTCTGTAAAATGGGTGGGGTGTGGGTGAGGATGGCACTCAATCTTCTTCCAGGTCCTTTCCAGTCCCACTCTTTTCTGTGGGCCACAGCCACTGAGCCTTGACACTGTTGGCCACACCAGTGCCAGTTCCCCAGATACACTGCCCCCAGGGTGGCTGGCACTGAGTAGGGCTTGCCTTCCTGGTGTCCTGCAGATCGTGGCTCGCTGTGACATCATGGTGCTGCAGGAGGTGGTGGACCGTTCTGACAGCACCATCTCCCTCCTTCTTCGAGAACTCAACCGGTGAGGAGGGCTTTGTTGGTCTAATCCGGGGCTCACCCAGAACTTTGAGGGCACTGACCCTGGGTTCCACTTTTCCTGGCAGATTTGATGGCTCCGGGCCCTATGAGTCCCTGAGCAGCCAGCCGCTGGGGCGTGGCACGTACTTGGAGAAGTATGTGTACATCTACCGGTAAGCACAGGGCTTGGCAAGGGCAGGGCCAGCCATGGCCCTGCTGTGAGATGGCTCATTAGTCCCAAGGGCTACAGGAACTTCCCTCCTGGGGCAGCCTCACCTCATTGCGCTTTTTCTCAACGATTTTATTCTGGGATCTTCCCTTCATCTACCACAGCCAGTGTGTCCGTCTATCAGGCCTTCCTTCTCCATGCACAAATGCGGGGGTCCCTCTTCCTCTCTCCTGTGGAAGCCACTGGGGCTCAGGGCATGGCTGGACCCCTCTATGGGAGTGGCCGGCAGTGACGGCGGCTTCTGGGAAGAGGCTCAATGGGTGCCGGTTGTGGCTCTTGGGTGGGCCTCATATCTAGAAACAACCCTAAGTCCCTGGGAAGACAGGTTGCGGGGAGCCCTTTGGAGTCAGTATCAAGAGGGCAAGGGGAACTGTTAGGGAAGGAGACCTGTTCTCATATAGATGAAATTATACAATGTCTGGAATTTGCTCCAAAATAATTGGGCAGCTCCTAGGTACCTACCTGAGAGAAACGAAAACAAGTCCCCATACGAATGCTCATCACTCATAACATCCCCAAAGTAGAAATGTCCATGAATTGGTGAATGACATCAAAGTGGCCAAACATCCACCAACCGAAGAATGGTGGACAAAACGTGGTACGCCCATACAGTGGAATATTTATTCAGCTCTAATAGTAATGAAATACTGATCCATGCTACGAGATGGAAGAACCTTGAAAATATTAAGGAAAATAATAAGGGAAAGAAGCCAGTCACCAAAGGCCACGTATTAATTTGGTTCCGTTCATATGAAATATCCAGAATAGGTAAACGTACAGGACAGAGGACAGATCGGTGATTGCCGAGGGCTTAGGGGAGTGGAGAGGAGCTGCTAACGGATATAAGCTTTCTTTTTGGGGTGATGACAATGTTCTAAAATTGCTCATAGTGATAGTTGCACAACCTTGCAAATACACTAAAACGCACAAAATTGTATACTTTAAACAGGTGAACCTTATGTCATATGAATTATATCTGAATAAAAACAAGTTCTAGAAAGAAAGGCTGTGCCCATATGGAACGGGTGGAGCCAGGAGAGGCTCTTACTGGGCTGCTGGTAGAGGCCCCACCGAGTGCTAGCTCTGCTGTTGGCACTAGCAGGCCAAAATCAGTGACACGCGACCACTGCTTTCCATTCCTTGGTCCTCCCAGGTCACACAAGACACAGGTCCTGGATTCCTACCTGTACAACGACGAGAATGACCTTTTTGCTCGGGAGCCCTTCGTGGCCCAGTTCACTTTGCCCAGCAAGGGTAGGAGAGGAGGGTGGGCCTGGTGTGTGGGAGCAGGAAGGGGGTGTGGCTGGCTGCACTCGGGGCGTGGTCACTGGAAGAGGCTGGGGGAGAAGGGCTGGGAATGGGCGGCAGCCCTTAGTCTCCGGGCCTTGCAGTCCTTCCCAGCCTGGTGCTGGTCCCACTGCACACCACTCCTACGGCTGTAGAGAAGGAGCTGAACGCCCTATACGACGTGTTTCTTGATGTCTCCCGGCACTGGCAGAGCAAGGTAGGGCCGGGCAGTTTGTGCTGGAGGGACAGGGAAAAGATGGCCTAGCGACCAGGCCCAACTGCTGCTCCGGTCTCTAGGACATGATCCTGCTTGGGGACTTCAATGCTGACTGCACTTCGCTGACCAAGAAGCGCCTAGGTGAGCTGATACTGCGGACGGAGGCAGGCTTCCGCTGGGTGATCGTCGACGGGGAGGACACCACGGTCCGGGCCAGTACCCACTGCACCTACGACCACATCGTGCTGCACGGAGAGCGCTGCCAGAGCCTGCTACAGGCTGCGGCTGCCTTCGACTTCCCTAGGAGCTTCCAGCTCACCATGGAGGAGGTAGAGGGGTGGGGCTGGCACAAGGAGGGAGGGCCGGAGTGGCTCACAGGGAAGCCCCTGAGCCCCAGGCACTGATGCTTTGTCCCACTGCCCGTCCCCAGGCCCTCAACATCAGTGACCACTACCCTGTGGAGGTGGAGCTGAGCCGGGTGGCGCACACTGTGCAGTCCTTCAGCCTGGCCACTCTGCTGTTGCTGTCACTCCTGCTGTCGCTCCTGCCCCGTCGGCTGGGCTTGGTGGCCTAACCACCTCCACCCCCAGGCCCTCCTCCCGCAGATGTCATGGAGACACTGCCTTTAGGACTCCAACCTTGGTGTCAGAAGTAACTCCTGAGGGTCTCCAACTGCAGTCCCCCCTCCATCTGACTGCAGCACTGCCCCACGTGACTGCAGTCCCCCTCCATCTGCCTTTGGTTTGGTTGGGCTTATCCCGGAGGCTGCACCCATGCCATCCCCCCACAGGTAGTGTCAGGATTGGAGACAGCAGGCCCGAGGCAGGGGGAGGGGAAGGGAGGGCTCAGAAAAGGGAAATACAACAGATCAAAAGATTCTGTGAGAAAAAGGAAACCTGCACAACACAGATAACAAAAAGCCGGATTGGGACATTACCTGTGTGTAGCAGATATGCCAACTGGCTACCTTTACTGTACACAGAATTCACGGGAATCAAGAGAACATTAAGGCCTTAGTAGATACGAGGATGGAGATAAGCAGTTACACCACCACCACCAAATGGAAAACGTTTAGGCTCATTGTAACCCAGTGAATGAATAGCCTGAAAACAGCCGTCAGGCCTGTTCATAACCACTGCACAGCCCTGCTTCCACCCAGTGGGGTGCTGTCAGTCCATCTTGGCACCTGGTACGTCAGTCTGGAGGATCTGAACCCTTGACCTTGGTGTTATCAGCACCATGCTCTTTACCAAGTGAGCTAAACAGCCAGCCCCATAGCAAAACTTCAACAGTGATTCTATCTAGGGTGTTGGTATCATGGGGTCCCCTCCTCTACAGTACGTTTTCCAAGAAACGAGCTCAGTAAAAACACCTATTGAGATGTCAGGACCATTTAAAGTGCAAATCACAATCCTGTTTTTTCTTTTTTTGTATGTTTATGGTTTCTGAACCATCTCCCAACATCAAAAATAAAGGTAATTTAAAACTTTAGAAATGGCTATAAATGGTGTAAAAAGCCAGAGGGCTGAGGACCACAGGCTGGGGACTTGGGGAAGTGCCTGTTGGTGGCTGCTAGAAGCAGGTTGCATGCGAGATGAGGCTGGAACCAAGGGAACAAACTGCACACCTGAGAAGGCTCTCTGGCCACAATGCCCCAGCTCTGGAACCAGATCCCATTTCAAGGGTCCAGGGGCTGAGTTCATCCTACCAAGGGCAGCAATCCTGGCCTATTTGTGCTGCTCCCCCAGGCTACTCCTCAGAACCCTAAAGCTGCTCTTACTGTTGGGGTTTAGGACAGAACGCCAGGATCCCCAGGCTGAGGGGTTGCTCCACACTTACTATCCAAAGGCCTTTCGTTGCCAAGCCTCTTGGGCTAGGTGTCAATGGTGGGTCCTGGAAATACAGGCTCTAGAAGGGCTGGTGGGTGGGCGGGGCCTGGGACAGCATGTGAAAGAGGTTGCTGAAAACATGGAAATGGGGTCAGGCCCCAGATTACTCAAGCCAATACTTGGACAACCCCAACCCCTAGAGGACTACTTAAACCAGGTGGCCAGAACTGAACCTGGTTTGGTTCACTTCTAACCATTGCTGGTCTGGAACACGTGGATAACGATTCCACCATAGACGTTACCCTTGGCCCAGAAGCCCTTCTCCATCCCAGAGTAGGATATTCAAGCAGCAAACAAAGCATATAGACTGATACCTGCCTAGGTTTGCAAGTGACGTGCTGCCCTTCATTACCTCCCCGCCTCAGGGATTTGCTGAAAGCAGTTGGGATCTGGAGAAGTGCAAGTCAAAGCCTAAACTAAGTAACCGATGAAAGGCCAACAGTTCTAGCCCTTTCTAAGGTTTGTTTCTTCAGCCCTGCTTAGTGCCAATTAGGGTCTCATGGCACAGCTCAGTTGTCAGCCTAATTCAAGTGCGGTGATCTCAAGGCTCCCAAGAGGCTCCTTTCCCTCCCACAGGAATACAGATGCAAAGACATAGGTGGACCAGAAGTAGGGATTTATTAGCAGGTGCAAGTAAGGAGGCGGCAGCACAGTGAAAGCCCTTATGAGTGTAAGGCCCGCCACTTGTCCAGGGGGCCACGGTTGGGGATGTACTTAACCCCACAACCATCCGGGATGAGCCGCTTCTCAGCCACCATGTCTTCAAATTCATCTGCATTAAACTTGGTAAAGCCCCACTTCTTTGAGATGTGGATCTAGGAAGAGATGGAAGACTGAGTCAGGAGGCCTGGTGCAAGGAAAGGCAGGAGAAGGGAGCCGCAGCACTGCTTACCTTCTGGCGGCCAGGGAACTTGAACTTAGCTCTGCGTAGGGCCTCAATCACATGCTCCTTGTTCTGCAGCTTGGTGCGGATGGACATGATGACTTGGCCAATGTGAACCCTGGCCACTGTGCCCTGAGGCTTTCCAAAAGCACCTCGCATACCAGTCTGCAGCCTAGATTGGGGCCAGCACTAAGTCAGAGACATGAATGTCCACTGGAAAGGGCTGTCTCCAAGGTCCCTTAGGGCAACCCGTACAAGCAACAGGCTGCATACACTACCAAGGAGGCTGCTGTTTGCAGCCATTGCACACTGGGCCACCACAAAGAAAGGAGCACAGTCGGCTTAATTGGCTGCAGAGGGCCCCAAAAGGAACCAGTGAGAAACCCTTCAAGGTACCACCGGGCCCCTTCTGACAGCCCTAAAACTACCTGCTTACTGGCAGATGGTTGCCACCATCAGGCTCAAAGCATGAAGAACTACTCTTCCAATACCTGTGGCCCAGAGGCTGCTAAGATGTAATCATGAAAAAGGCTCAGGCCCACCTCACCTGTCAGCCCCAGCACAGGACAACATCTTGTTGATGCGGATGACGTGGAAGGGATGGAGCCGCACTCGAATATGAAAGCCATCTTTGCCACAACTTTTTACCATGTACTTGTTCGCACAAATACGGGCAGCCTCCAGGGCTAGGTGGAGGAAGAAATGCAGCAGAGTGAGTTTTGTAAGAAGGCTCATGCTTGTTAATGAGCTGTTAATTCCAGGGCAGTACACTCTGTGTCAGGCTGATGGAGCACATAGGAAAACACTGTGTGATTAACAACGAACCATGCCTCACCTTCAGAGGACAGCTGCTCATACTCATCTGACACCATGTGGCCACACAGCGGGAACTCATCCACTTTTGCTTTCTTCCGCCCGAGATCAAAGATGCGGATCTTGGCATCTGAAAAAAAGCTCGTGTGAGTGAGTGTGTGGTACTGAGGAAATAGTCAGCACAGCCAAACCTGTTTGCGAGTTCTTCCAGTACTTACCAGGGACACCTCGGCAGAAGCGAGACTTTGGGTATGGCTTGTTCTTACAATACCGGTAACTGCACGGGGAAAAAACCCATGTTTGGTGGGGTTCACAAGGAAACTCAACAAGCACTTACGAGTGTCCCTTCAAGGAACAAGAGGGCATAGAAGGGGGTGGGGAACGCATGTCAACCTCTAAACTGCTTCCATTCTGGGAAACTGGCTCCAAGAACACATGGTCAGAACAGGAGACCACAAAAATGACACAAACACCAGAACCATAAAAGTACCTCTCTTTACCCCTAACTTTAAGCTTTCTCTCAAGAGGACACTTTTAAATAAAACTTCCCAGTTAAAAAATATATATTCTCCTTGGAGGCACTGCGTACTGTAAATTCGCTGTTTGAGTAGCACAGTTCAGGCCACCCAAAGATTTTTCGGGCACGTGGCACTAAATCCGCCTCCGAGCCGCGTGAACGGCGTCCGGCGCCCCCTGCAGGGCAGCCAAGGAGGGTGCACCCGCTTTTCCCGGACTGCCCTTGGCGTCCGAGAAGACCGCACGGCACCTCGTCTGGAAATAAGGGATCGCACACAAAGGCCCCGTGAGGGCGTCGAGCCCGAAAATGCGGCCAATTTCCAGAGCAGAACATGAAATGCAATGCGCACGTCGTTTCCTGCCCGACACATGCAGTCCTAAGTCAATCCGCCAACCCAAAAACAAGACGGGGGAAGCGGTAGAGGAGGACATGAACTTTTAAAGAAAAGGAAAATATGGTAAAATCTGAAACTAAAAACAATCCGGAAGGTATCAGAAAAAACACGGGGTCAAACCCGAGGACAAGACCGCAGCCTGAGGAAGGCTCCACCCAAAGGCAATTCTCCGTCCCTTTGCCCAGCAGAGAAATTGCATGGATCTGGCACTCACCAGCGAGCGGGGCGGCGGCCCATGGCGACACCAGGACCTCCGGTGGCTACAACGAAAAAGACAAAGTCAGAAGAGAAGACGAGGACAGGCCTCAAACTAGAGAAGAAAAACGGAAACGGCATCTAAGAAACCCACAGTTCTGCCTACTCACCGCGCCGAAGAGAAAGAGACGTTTCCACCCCTGCGCGTGCCTTATATAGGCGGGCTAATCTTCGCGCGTAGAAACCATAGAGTTCCGGGGAGAGCGGGTGGACGCTCTGTCAGACGTCTCAACCATAGACGCAGCGGGCGCTCTGCGCCTGCGGGCGGGCGAGACTGAGCGCATGCGCACAGAGGAGAGGTGGCTGGGCACCTGGCCGCGAGCCGCCAGTTGGCGAATGGGACTTCGCCACGTCGGCGTGAGAAGCCCGCTTCCGGCTGGCCATCTTGGGCATAGAATTCTTGCCCTAGGCCTTGCTGTAACTATGACAGACGTATATTCCAAGAGTTGGAAGAAGGAAAATACACCCGGCTGGGTCTCGTGACGGCCGCGCGGGTGTTCCCGAGCTTGCGGGGCCGGGGACACATACTACGTGCCTCCCTCTGGGCTGCAGGGTCCCCGGCGGCGAAGCGCCATGCTGGGGCCTCAGTCCCCAATCCTTTGTCAACCGGGAGGCCGGAGCGAGAGACCCTCCCCTCACACCCCCTACTCAGACCGACGAGTAGCCCTTGCTGTGAGCAGTGCGCCGTGGCCTATTGCCCGGAGACCCCCGGATATCCGACTTTCGGGGGGAAGAGGCCCAGAAGAAGCTTCCACGGAGATCCATGGCCCGAGAGACTGTGGGCAACGCTGAGTCCGATCTGCCCTCCTTGCCCAAGCAGGATAAGAACGGTTGAGCTCCACAGGGTGATGTGTAAAAGACGGAAGGA